CTGATACATTTTTATCAGCTAGCTTAGCCGGCTAAGCTGCCTTAGCTACGGCTGCTCTAGCCGGCTTGAAACACTAGGTTAATATGCTATCGATTACCACGTTAGAGGTGAAGTCTTGACATTTTTGCAGTAACGTATTACTTATTTGGATAGGTTTTTTTTATTTTAAATTAAGCTTTCTTGTCAGGGTTCGTAGAATAGATATAAAACATCAACTTATGTGTGTGAAATTACGTTCCCGTCACTTTTAATGACAGAAAGCGCATAGCGGGCTTTCGTTGTGATTGGCCGATATCTGAAAATCATCCCATGATATTACGAAATATTATTGGTTAATCTAACTCTATTTATATTCATTCTATTAGACTAAGATTATTTAAGGCGAAGAAGGTGTCTTATACGAGACTAAATTGTAACAAAAAATATATTTTATATGAAACTAAATTGGCCTTAATAAAAGCTAGGGATGTTAAACCGTTTAGTTACTTTTAAAAATCAAATATAAATTTAATATATCAAACTATTAGAACTAGTTCAGTTTATATAGTAAAATCTAATTGGTTTAACATCCCTAATAAAAGCATTATTACAAATCTCACAATTAAGAATCTAAGATCATAAGCTAGCACAAACAAGATCTTACAAACCAGGGTCTTATTAAATACACACACAAAATTAAAAAAAAAAATTTAAAAAAAGGATATTTAAATTTTGGCTAAAAATAGATTAATACGTACTCAAGCATGTATGTAAAATATGGCATATTTACTCTAAAATAAAGTGGCTAAAGTTTATAAAAACTTTGTACGTATTAACTCTCAATGTAATCTCTGATTATTCGGGTCCTGCATGAATTTGGGTGTTATACATAAAATTGTTTTCCATCTAAGGTAAAATATGAACCATAATAACACCTTTTTTAAAATAAGTATCTTTTATATAATTTCATTTGATATTTTAGAATTTAAAGTAAAGCCACTCCAAACTTATTTCCGACCTCAAGCGTTAATTTTAATATGAAAATTTTTAAAATTAAATTTGGACATAAATTTATAAAAATTTAAAAATATGTAAAGATTAATAGGTGCAAAACAATCATAGATGTGTTTTATAATAATTATAAAATTAATATGTAAATTTGATATACTCAAAAGCAGTATTAATTTTTTAACTGTGCACGATTTGGAACCTTTTTCTATGCAGCAATAAAAAAAAAAAACTACGAGAAACTGTTTGTCAATGTAATCTATTTATAAATTTTAATTTTTTCAGCGCGGTATCTGCATATCTGCTTAAAAGAAAACGTGCGCAAAATTTGTTTCTTTGTGCTGTGCACAGTCCGCACTGCGAAAAATAATTATTGTTCAAAGGTATTAATGCATCAAAATGTGAATATAATATCAAAACTCAGTTATAGGAGATACTATTGCATTTACGTCATTAGTTACGGCTTCATTTATAAACTGATTTTTGACGCACTAAATGATGTTATGGATCTACATCTATACGTCGTTTTAACGGTGCTTCAGATGGTGGATGTTGTCTAAGTTTTATTTTAGCTTCCTTAAACATTCGTTGGATCATGATAACTTCCTTTTTATCACCATAAGGTCTTGTTCATTACATAAACAATTATATATGTATAGATTAATCAGAAATTAAATTAAATTAAACGACTTAATAAATTCAATTGCATCATAATATACATTCTTACTTGTTATAGACAACCTCGGCAACGCTCGATTGAATTAATTTCTTCGAGCATCCTTAAATTATTTCAAATTAAAACACAATTTTGGAACAAAATGAAGGTCACAAAAGTATTATTACATACCAAAGCATGGAAACCTTAAAAAAAAAAAAAAAGAAATTTATGCTTTAAATCATTAAGATTTGATAATACGATAATATACTGCAGGATTATTTATACTCACGTGTTACAATAAAGAATACAACCTTTATTTTCTCTCCCAACTTCTAATAATGCATTTTCTTCTGCATGCAAGCATAAACAAGTGCTCGATTTACCTCCACTTTCTCCTTGAGAACATTCTTTACAATTCCCATCATTGCAATTTTTTAAACCTTTTGCTGTACCATTATATCCTGTCGCGATTACTCTAGAGTCTTTAACTAATACGCAACCAACCTTACGCTTTATGCAATTTGTTCTTGATGCCACTAGTTCCGCCAAATACATGAAATATGTATCATAATCAGGTCGTAATCCATCTGGACGCATAATATCAAGAGCACTAAGATACTTGTAAAGATTTTCTTCCTTTGATGAATTCATGATAGTAAAATCAGCCATGTACATGATTTTATAAATTTCACTCCAATTTTCATCATTTTTGTTCATAAAATCATCGAAATTTTTACTATTGTTTTCGCTAAAAATTTTGGGACATCAGTTATTAAATAATTTACTATCTGATAATAGTTTTTCAAATTAAAAATTTACCAAACTTTCCATCTATCGTATCGAACTTTCAATTCAGCATCCACAGCCAATAGTAAAAAAAAAGGACGTCGTCTATTAAGAAAATCAAAATTGATATGTAAAAGTTTCTCGTACACATATATATTTGAATTCAAATTTTTATACTGTGTATGAATATTGCCAAGAGAAATTGAGATTTTGGATTCTAAAGTTTATTTTTATTATTATTTACCGAACTAAGCCCGACTAATATGATTTTTGAATAAATGGGAGTGGACTAGGGAAACCATCGTTTGATATTTCAAACGGCGATTTTCTTAGTCCGTTTCCCAAATTATTACCTTCAAAACGTTGGGCTTTCAATTATGTATATCACAGATCGGTTTTCAAGGGCTGAATCAGATAAATAACAAATGATAAAGTTGATCTCAATTTTCTTTGGCGGCATTCATATAAGAATTACCTGAATTCTTTTAATGCGTTTAGTGTATCGTTATCAGTACCAGATATTATTAGGGTGTCCTATATCATAATTAAATCAAAACTATGTTAGCAAATTTGTAAATCCGCTAAGTGCAGATTTTTGATGCTCAATTCTTGCTAGTCTACAAATTCAGCAATTCAATTGGTCCAATATCATATGATGCCCATCCTATACACGTAGTATATTATCCCTTAAACCGTCCAGCGGGCAAATTTGCCCGCTAAAATCTTTTTTTTTTCGATTTAGTACGATTGCGCCCGATTTTCCTAGCAATAGTACCCCCCTTTCCTAAACTAGAATTAAAGTATACTATTTTGCAGATCAACTTGTGACTTCATATCACGCGATGGTTGTACATGACGTCGTACATACGTATTAGCAGTTCAGCGATTACCTATTGATCGCTATCAATTTAAAATTAAAAAAGAAAAAAAAAAAAAAAAAAAACAATATACAGCCATGGCAAAGGCGAGTTCATCGCATTTACCCCACCTGAAAATACTGAGGTATTTCTGACAGTGAGGACGAAGAGTACATTCCACATTTGATATTCCGACAACATTCTTTGAACAACATGGAATCAGACAATGAAGAGGAAGACGAAGTTGTTGAAAGCGGTAATAGGAAGGGCCACAAACAATCAAAAAAACACCCAAATTGCCACCACCATTCTCAAATTTTGAATCATTGGTTCATTCAAAAAATTTGCACCAAGCATTTGTTAAATTGCCACCAAATTATGAAGTCGGTTTCTCAAAACTGATCAACCTTTTTTTTCTTTTTTTTACAAACATTTTATTGGACAAAATTGTCTTCAATACGAATTCATATGCATTGATTAAAGGCACTGGCCTTGCTGGAAGACAATAGACAAACATAAACCGCAAAGAGCTTATTACCTAGATCGCTCTGGTTATTTATCAGGGATTTTTAGGCTGTCTTTGCTTAACCATTACTAGAATGAGGACCCAAAGCTCCCCATTTACCATATTTCTAGACAGAACAAACCAATCCCAGAGAGATTTAAGGTGTTGTCACTTTGTGAATCCAGATATATATTCACTTTTTTGCCGACATCACGTGTCTCTCCAAGCAATATAGAAAAAGTGAGCGGGCTTAATCAAATTGGTTGCCTGGTCCACCATCTTGTTATGCAACTTCTATATCATCGATATTTGTTTAATATTTACATAGATAACTACTTTTCTAACGTTTCTCTTTTTTAGAACCTTCGGCAAGTCGGCATTGGTGCTTGTGGCACCGTTCGAAAAACAGCATCTGGGTTTCCCAAGGAACTGAAGATGGATAAGAATCTTTGACTTGACTGGGACGTATGTTCTGGTATTGTGGTAAATGAAGTGTTGGCTATGTTTTGGCAAGACAATGGTCCGGTCACAATGTTGTCAACAATTTATGGTCTTGTTGGTGAACAATGGGAGGTAGAATACGAAAGACAGTGCCAAGAGAAACAAGCACCAATGCAATAAAAGTGCGCATGGTGTTTGGCTCTCAACTAAAAAAAAACTAAGAATTCCCAAAATAATTGATGACTACAACCACCACATGAATAGCGTAGATATTGCAGATCAACTATAGTTATATTATTGTATACAACAAATGGTACGGAGAAACTGGATGCCAATTTTTTTTTTGGTTGTTGGATACCACCATCATCAACGCATATCATATTGCCCGGACCCTAGGATGCACTCAGGAGCAAAAGAACTTTCACCTTGAACTGGTGTGGGATCTAATAAATGTTGCAAATGATGTAGAGGAAATTCAGCTTAGAAGTGGAACAAAAAAAAAGGAAGGAAACAGATAAAGAAATAAAAAAAGAAACCAAATGGCCAAAAGTAATAAAGCATTTTGAACTTTCAAACCAACAGTTTGTAGGTGGTAACCATTTAGTTGAATGGAGAAAGAGACGAGAAGCATGTCTATAGTGCACATGGCTTGCAAGTAAAAAAAATCTAGACCTTGACCATAAGACTTCACATCGAAGCAAATTTTGGTGTATCGCCTGTGACATGCCGCTTTGTAGTAATAACATTCGAAATTGTTTTTTAGAGTACCATAAAAATGACAAAGGGCAATAAAAAATCTGCGGGAATGGGAAATATTTCTGCAATAAATAATTTTGCAGATTGTTATCGTGATGGAATAGGAATTGAGAAGGATTAACATAAGACATTCACTAATTATCAAAAATTTTTTGAGATTATGATGTTAACAGAATGTCTCATGTTGGTTATTGTTATCAAAATAGGATTGGATTATTTTTTAAATGCTTAATTTCATAATTAAAAGCATTTTATTAATTTTTACTGGCTAAATTTTTAATTTACATTTAATAATTTTGATTGTTACATTGTTTTGGTCAACTTAACTAACTCGATAAAATAAAATTTTATTATATATAAATTCCCATATTTCATACGATGTTATTTCATCCATGTCTGTAATATTTATAGCTGAATTCTTAGGGCGATCCGGAGGTTTTGACTCAACAAAATACTCTTTAACAAAAATGCAATATATTCTGAGTAATTTAGGTTTGCGGTCTTCGCTTGTATCACATGGTATGCGCAATGATGTAACAGTTATATTGTCATGTGCTTCATATTCCTGGAGTTACTCTCGTCGATTTTGGTTAGTCTTTTAATAAAAAAAATTTTTTTATTTTTATTTTTTCTCCCAATTACAGTATTTTTAGCAGACAAATATGTCCGCTAACTACTGATGGTTTAAGGGATATCGTATTTTTGTATAATAATGCCAATAAGCATTATTTCAAAAATTGTATAACTTGAAATAACATGCATAGCTTTGAAATGATGCTCATACTTATCTTTAAATAACACGCATGTTTGGATCAGTGTACATGAACCAATTGTAAATATCTTTTTATATTGAATAATAAGCCTTTAACTCAAAATATTGCATATGCGCATACTTGAAATACTCAAAATAATGTGCAGATGGGCATTATTATACAAAGATATGGTAGTATGCACCTGAAACTGGCTTTTGAGTAGGTTTTGTTTGAATATATAACTGACAAATATATATATAATTAACATCAATCAAGATTGATTGATTTTTTAATGATACGTATTAATTATAAAAACGCATGTATGTAAGAAGACTTGATCAGATTATATTTTTTTTAACTTTTTCGACACGTATACATACCTCAACAAACTTGTAAATTAAATACCAAAAATAAAATAAAAAAAAATGCCAAAGCCAAATAAACACACAAGACAAGCTCGACAAGCTGCTACCATAAAATAGAAAAATAAATCGTTAGTTAAATTGACCAATACTGCTTCCAACAAAAGTTACAAACCTATGGCACTAATCCTATCAACAAAAATTGGCCTACAGTATCAAAACTTGCTTCTTCATCGCATAAGACCCTTGACAGTAGTATTAATGATGATAATTCTATATTATTATCACTAGATGCACAATTGAAAACAAAAACTGTTGATATAAATCTCAATACAACAAGACAAATTCTTCATCTTGTGAATGAAGGATATACAAAGATGAAGGCAAGTAAACTTCTGGCTAAGAGTTTGGGTAAAAGCCTATGGCATGCTTGGCATATTTGTATCTGGGCAAATCAATTGAAGATTAACGAAGTCAAAACATCATAAATATGTAAAAACCAAATTGTTAATTCATAATAAAAGTTTTCGATGTCAAATAAATCAGTATTTGGAGAAAAATAAATTTAAATTATCTATTCCAAATTTTATAAGTTATGTTAGTTATGAAGTCATAAGTAAAACCATTAGCAGATTAACTGCATGTGGATGGCTAAAATTGCTTGGATGGAGATACCAAACCTATACAAAAAAGATTTATTTTAATAGCCACGAATATGAAGATATGGTAGAGTACAGAAATGATTTTTTGCAAGAAATAGCTAGGTTATGAAAATGAATAGCCAGATATGAAGGTAAAAAATTAAACCGTATCTTGCCAAATCTTCTTCCTGGTGAGGCTAAATTGTTCCTATTACTCAAGATGAAACCACTCTTTATACAAATAATGGTGTAAAACAATATTGAAGCCCAAAAGGTGAATATGGCCTACAGAGAAAATCATTAATAAGAATCAGAATTAACTAACATTTTTAGTTAGCTAATCAGCTTACTAAAATTTTTAATTATTAATTAAAATATTATGTATCAATCAGCTATAATCCCTGATCACTATACCAATATCACTGGGATTAATGAATAATATCCTAAACTATACATGAATAAGCAGAATCTTCATTTCTGCTAATCCCAATAGACCAGGTTATCGTGCAAACTCTTATGATCATAGATTTTTTTCTTCTTGTAATTTTTTGTATATTATTTCATAAGTACAACAATTCTGAATTAAAACTCAGTTAGCTAATCACAACTCGTAAATCATAATCATAATTGCATGATAATATATTGGATCATGCGATGATAAATATCACAAAATTTGTTTTGTCAGAGCAAATGATTAGATAAAATGTGTCACTACACGGCACATGTCAGCCAATCATTTGCTCTGACAAAACAAATTTCATAATATTAATCATTGCATAGCCAATATCTTATACATATTATTATTTCTAATATTTTAGTAAGTTAGCTAAAAACATTTTTTTGACTAATTTTTGATTTCTATCTTTGATCACAGGGCTCTAGTATTCATATTAGTAATTTTGTCTGTGAATCTATTGGGTGTCTTAAACTTTCAGACTATGTAATTGGTATAAATAACTTACTTCCTGATTCCATGCATCTCAAATATACCAAAGCAGGTATTGCCATCTATTCAGACATAAATCGTGATGGTTGGTGGATATGCGATGATTTAGTTAATTAGGTAGTTAAATGTGCTATACCAATATTTGAACAAACACACCCCAACAAGATAGCTCTATTTATGTTTGATAATAGTAGCAATTATGGTTCATTTGCTAAAGATGCCCTTTTGGTCTCACAAATGGGTATGAAAGATAGTACAAAAAAACTACTTCTTCATGATGATACAATGCCTGATGGTTCCAAGCATATAATAATCTATATAGACAATGCTAATGTAAAAAGGCCTAAGGGAATTAAACGAGTTCTTGAAGAAAGAGGTTTGTGGATACCAGGCCTTATAAAAAAGTGTGATACATATAAAAAAAATAAGCCTGATTCAAACAACCCAAACTGTTGTGCTTCATGTATTCTTTCAGCTCAACCCGACTTTGCAGCTCAAAGATCACACATATTAAATAAGTTTTTTTTTGTTAAAAAAAAAAAAATTTAAAAACCATTACTTACATATGTATAAATAATTTAGATAATTGAAGATGCCAGCCACATGTACATCTTTTACCCTAAGTTCCATTGTGAACTTAATTATATTGAGTCCGTTTGGGCTAAGATGAAATGTTATGCAAGACTTTACTGTGATTATAGTTTTAAGAGCCTCAAAAAAACTGTTCTAATGGCATTAGATTTTGTTAGTTTATTAAAAATTCACTGCTTTGCTTGCCATTCTGAACAATTTATGAGTGCTTATGAACTTGGACTTTCTGGAAAGGCTGCTAACTTTGCAGTAAAGAAGTATCGTTCTCATCATCGAATTTCAGAACAAGTTCTTGAAGAATTCACTTATGATTAAAAGTATATATGTACAAACTATATGTGTAAATAAAAGTTGTAAAGTAATACTTTAAAGTTTATATGTATTTCAATAAACTGTGATTTAAAAGCAATAAAAAGTTAGGGTTAGATTTTACGCGTAAAGTAAAATCGTTTAAGGAAAAAGCATCAATAATCGTATACATACAAAATTCTGAAATTTGATTTGTGCAGAATATCTACACTACAAGATCTAATTTTGATGAAATTTCGATCCTAATCTAAGACCACAAAATTAATTTTTCTTTTTGCATTACCTGCTGACCCAACTTTTTAAAATTCAATTTTTTTTACAATA